TCTGATTATTTATTTACCGTTCTAGAATGACCTTGGGTGAGGAATGACTGCTCACTCAACCCATGTCCTTGCTTGCACTTCCACACAGAGACTCTGGAAGGTCCATAGGACTGTAGTCCTGTTTTACGCTCTCAGTCATGTGGCATAAGTTACAAGAAGGCTTGTGTTTCCCTAGGGTGATGGGCCAGCAGAAACTGATGCTCTTGGCCACCTTTCCCAAACGGCTGCAGCGTTTGGCTTGCAGTAGCATTGTGTACTTGTGTCCAAAATACAAATTGTGCTAGCTGCCTGCCTGGATGTTGGAGAAATGAACATTAAGTCCTGCCCTGCTGCATGGGCCTGACTGCATTTGATGAATTGGAGTCAGTGCTGGCAAATCATCATTGCTCACAATGACGACAAATCGTGCGCAGTGCTCATACGGTGAAGTACGAAGCTTTTGTCCACCACTGCTTATCCAGACGCTTAAAAAACTCTCCTGTTAAAGTGCATGAAGCTTGCAAACAGCCTTCAGGATCTGGTTGTTCGCATTTTGTTGAAGGCACTGAAAAAATCTGGTCTGTTTGAAGGACTTGCTTCTATTCCCCAGAGTTTCCCCTGATGTGGGGGAGCAGGAGCTGGGCTGCAGGACGGGGGATGACTCAGCAGTAGAGCAAGATGAAAGCACAGACGGCTATTAAAAGGAAGCATTGCTCTTGATCTGTGACCTTGACAAAAATCCCTAGTGATGTTGATCCTTCCAGTAACAGCTGCAGGCATGTCGTTTCCCCTCTTTTTGTATTACTGGACAATCTGTTTTTCAGGGTTTTGTTGGTTTTGCATTTTCTACAGTAAGAAATGGTTTCTTGTCTCTGTCAGAAGTGTTTGTTTCAGCAGATGCTAAAAAAGCGTGTATGCATGAGTGAGCAGTCTGTGCGTTACTTCACCTTGCGTGAGCACAGAATTGCACGCAGCGGGAGTAACTGCTGGGATGAGTCGCCTTTGTTTTCCCCGCCCTGTGTTGCTTGGTTTATGGTCAGCGCTGTCAGTATGCGGCAGTCATGTTTACAGAGCACCGCTGAGTCAAATATCCTAGCTGACTATTTTAAAGCGTTGGATACCTTCACAGCCACAGGCATTGGGAGCTGGAATTGCGGAGATAAGAGTGCTGCAGTTTGTGGAGGGAGAATTGTATCCTCCCTTCAAGTACAGCACGGCACGTCACGTCCTTGCTAGGTACGCCGTCTGCCCTCGGCGAGGGGAGTCCCACCCGCTGGGAGTGTGAACCCTCCCTGAAGGAGGTGCGATCCTCTGGTACGGCAGATCTAATCACAAGCCGAGGTCTTCTCAGTAAATACTCTTTGCTTCTTTTTTGTCTTCTAGTGTCAAGATGGTGCTGATGTGGACCAGTGGGGACACGTTCAAGACTGTTTATTTCATCCTGAATCAAGCCCCTTTCCAGTTCTCCATCTGCGGCCTCCTGCAGGTTTTTGTGGACATCGCTATCCTGTTGCAGGTGTACTTGTACAGCCACTACCCTCAGAAGCCCGTCTCCCACGCTGCCCACCCAGCCAGCACCAAGGCCCTGTGAGCTGGACAGGTTGCGGGTCAATGGCACAGCGCCGGCAGCCACGGCAGCTCCTCTTCCACTTGTAAATACTCCTGCATTGCCGAGTTGAAAGCAGAAATGAGAACAGGGATTGAAAAATCTGGCTGCACTTCCAGCTCAGGAGGTTTTCTTTTAAATAACTTGCTCTCTCTGGTTTCAGACTTAGCTGTACAGAACAGTTTCTTGGTGGGGGTAGGGGCACTTTAGTTTCGCGTATGTACCTACGAGCCTTATCAATTCACAAATGTTTGTATATTTAATCACAAGGGCTGGATGGTTTGTGTTTTTAATTCTATTTAAAAATGTTACGACACAGAAATTATAGGATATTTTGTCTGAAACTTCTACCTATTTATATAATATAAAGTCTGTATATTGGCAGGAAGTTGGTGGCATATGCTAGCATTCAGCATTTCCACGATGTGGGAAGAAGCATTGAAGAGCAAATGCAGGAGCTGTCTCTTTTCTTTAAGAAGGGTTTCTGGTGAGGGTGGGAGGTCCTGCAAACGAGGTGAGCGGCCAGAAATGAGCCAGTCAGACACAGCATAAAGCATCAATGAGCTGGAGAGCCATTGTGGCCAGTGTTCACCCCCGCAGTGGGATCTGTGTGGCAGGTGGACACGTCAAGGAGATGATGAAGGGGGTCTGAGTATGGACAATGCTGGAGCCATGTTTAGAGCAGGCACAGCCCGTGAAGCCGTCAGCCAGGAGGAGGAGCTAACAGGAGACTGCAGGTAACTTAGTCTTGCTTTGAAACGCTGGGGTTTGGGAACAGCCTGCCCCTCATTCGATGTCTTGCACAAAGCAAGGGGCCAGCAGACGCGCGTTGCCGGTATTGCCAGGCAAGTATTTCTAGATGTTGATTAAAACACAAAGGTAGAAGCAACTCTACTTTTGTTGCCTCAGAAGGGGAAGTGAAAAAGTTAGAGACAGAGAAAAAGCTGTATCCTATGGAGTAGGACTAGCTTGATTGGTTGAGGCTGAGATTCATGTTCATGTTGTTTACTGCCAAACAAGAACCAGTTTATGTTTTGGGGGGTTTCTTGCATTGACTCAACAACGAAGGAAACCGTGTTTTCCTTTTTCTGTTGCTTAAGATCTTCTAGGCTCTTAGAAGAATCAGCAGCCTGTGGTTAGACAGAGGGACTGAGAAAGCTGGAAGAGCAAAAAAAAATGTAGATGTTGTCTGTAATGGCTGTTTGCCAGAGTAGGTCACCGTGCCCTTGCTGAGAACTGCACATGTCTAGAAGCTGCAGGTGGTATGGACCCGCAGGGGGCTGCGACCAAGCCCCTGGGCTCCTGCCAGTTGCCGTCATGAAACTGCCCTGGTTGGTATGAGGCAGCCATCAGATCAGATCTGCGTTGGGTAAAGCAAGGCGCTTAGTCCCAGGAACTGTGCTGCTTTCTTCTTCATGGGGCTCCGTCCCTGCTGCTGGGCGAATCCCGTCCGACCACAGGCGAGGTGTTGGAACTGGGATGGATTCTTGAGAATCGCTTTTTCTCCAAGGTTACCCAAGAGCTTATGTTTTCTTCCTGATGGCAGCAGGTCTGAGGTTTAATACCTTCAGTGTGTAAATCGGATGCTTCCCCTGCCCTGTTTTATTTGGGAACCTCGTGATTTGAGTCTGGACTGTCTCCATCGGTTACAAACTGTCCCCCGGAGGGGAAGCGTCAGCAGGCTGCGGCAGCGGTGGCGTGATGCTGGGCTGGGAGTGCCCATCGTCAGACAGGGAAGAGCCGGCTGTCGCTGTGCTGCTCTCCAGACCTGTGCCCCTCACTCCCCGGGTAGCCCCAGGCTGACCTCGCGGCTCCCATGGCGTGTGCTGTTTGCTTTTGGAGCTGACGGGTTGGTGGTGGAGCGCTGGGGCCTGAACCTGCGGGTCCTCCTGCCCTGGCAGGTGCGGTGAGATCTGCGCTGGGTAAAGCAGAGCCGAGGAGAGCCGCTGTTCCCGAGGGCTGGGCACAGGACGCTTTGCCCGGGCACTGACTCCATGCTCTTTGTTAGACACCCGTACTCTTTTAGGCCTGAAGTGACCTTACAAAGACGATGTACCTGGCGTGGCAGACTATGAATGTTTTGTTCCTCTCTTTTCTCCAGTGTTCTGGCTGTGTTACAGGAACATCTGGGCTTTTGTCTTTTTTAATTGAAAACTTACTTAAGCAACTGGCTTATCTGGGACGCTGCTTTAATGAGGATTGTATTTCTACTGTATGCAAACAAACACTTTCTCGTGTGTTTCAATGGTCTGAAGTTTTTTTTTTTTTTTTTTAATAACTTGTAATGATAAGATTTTTGTATATGGTGGTCTTTTTCTAATAGTCTATGAAACGGGGATATAAGAAATAAATGGCTTTTAAGAAATATACTTGTGTATGTTATAGCTTCAGCTGGGAGTGCACGCTTTTGGCCACCTCTTGGCTTTGAACTACAGGTATTGCGGAGGATAAAACAAATGTTTTTTCCTTTTGGGACTCTTCCCTGGGCAGATTCTTGAGTCTGTCCCCAGTACCCAAACCAGTGAGCTCTGCAGACCAGTCTCCTTCACAGCAGAACTGCAAGTGCTGGAAGAGAAGATAGTGAAACCATGTCTAAAGTCCTCTTCTGTATGTGGCATTTACCAAGGTAGGACACTTGGCCAGGAACTCTTGAACTTCATCTTGCAAGATACTTCAGGGACAAAATGTTACAGAACTTTGCTTTTGGTCTTTAATTGTCAGGAAGTATCTGTATCAATGATCACCTCAGAGTATAAGAAATCAATTACTTTAAATAAATCTCTTTGAATGTATGGCACATTTCATGGAGTTTATTTTCTCTGTCAGTTGCAATGTTTTTTTTTAAATAAAATTACCTATTATATATAAATTGCAGTGTTGCTTTGTTTTGTTCAGATGCAAGATGTGTGCTTATAACTTGTCTTGTCTGCAGCGTTGTCTCTAGGAATAATTAGCATGCTTTTTCCTCCTGATGGGTGGTAAGCACAAGGCATACATTGTCCTGAGGTCATGATGGACAACAGGGATTCTGGGTTTCTGTCCCCTGCTCTTTCATACATCCTGGGGTAAACTTACCCTCACGACCACTTAACTCTTCTATGCTTGTGATGCTCACAGTAAAAGCAAGTTACTAACACATTATTATGTAGCTTTAAAAAAAAAAGTGTCATGCAAACTGCGTAATGAGGTCAAAGACGGGACACAGCTGAGGGACGTGCACTTTGCAGCCTCTGCATGGAAGCTCAGGAAACGGAGCGTGTCGTCTCATGTCTCATCATGGTGCCAAGAGGAGTCTTGGCCTCTCTCCCTGTTGATGCAGGACACGAAAACAAGCCAAGACAGTCAGGACCAGCCTTGCGACTGGGATGTAGCTCCTCGGCCCTGCCAGGCTGCCGTGCAGGCTGTTCAGCTGCTCCAGCCTGGGGAGAGCATTCGCTGGCGCTATGTGCAGTGGCTGTGGAAGCTGGAGAAGGGGAGCTGGTGAAGAGAGAGAGCTGGGGGCACAGGAGAGAGCGTTGGGAAGGGCAGGAGGAGGGAGGTGGGAGAGTCTGAGCTTGTTCAAATAAGAGGCCGAAAGGAGGGACTCCTGGAGGGGAGGGAAATGAAGGAAAACCAAGACCTGGAAGGGCAAAGGTTGAATCAGTGAAGTAGAGGTAAAGGGGGAGGAAAACAAGAGGGGAGTACAACCTGCTCTGTTAGGGTCTGCGGGCAGTGGAGACCACGGAGGGCAATGGCCCAAACAGTTCCCACAGCAGCCGAGCCGGCTCATCGCTCATCGTGGGTGCACCAAATAGTCCTGGTGTTACTGGCTGCTGCTCTGGCACGCACTGAGGGGAAGCTAATGGTGGGACTGGGGCTAAATAAAACAACGGGGAGCCCCTTCGGTAAACGGGGGCTCTCACAGCCCCCTCTGGGTGCTGCAGCACCAACCCTTGTCCCCCAGCTGCTGGCCAAGCTCTCCCTCGGCTGTGCGGGGCAGGCGATGCTCTGCACTGCGGCTCCAGAGAGATGGAGATCTCGTGGTTAGATGGTTGGGTGTACGTGCCTACACGTGTGGCTAGATGCGATTAAAAGCATTTCAAGCCAAAAGGCAAAGCTCCATTTTGGCGCTGGGTAGTAAAGCAGAAGTTGGCCCCCACGTGCTGTTTGCTCAATTTGGTGATCGTTAGCCTGAGTGCCAAGAAGGCTTCAAGGATCCTGACTGACAGCTGTAGCTTTGTTGGTAGCTTTCTGTAGCAGAAGACATTAATGTGAAAGTCAACAATATGCTAATAAATAAAAATATTGTCTGGATACTTGTGCCAACAGCAGTAAATGAGAGAGACGGACTAGAACAAGATGTGAGGCACACCTTGGGGCAGATCTCCCTGTGCACAGCCTCGGAAAAGCAGCCAGCACGAGCAGACGGCAAGGAAATGCCCCAACAGCAAACACAGGACTTCTAGACCCCTGTCCTGCCCCTTCTGTGTCCCATTTTACGTGGATTTGGCTCCTGTAGGTGCTGGGAGACTGAGGGGCTTTGCTGAGCCCCAGATGGGCCAACAGAACCACGCTGGGTTTCTCTGCCCATCAGCCCCTTCATCTACCTCGTTCCTCTTCCACCCCAAGGCTCCAGATTCTGCTAAGGCTGTAGCCAGTAGGCACCCGGCCCTGCGAGAGCCGAGGATGCTTTTACCCCCAGGAAGCACCTGCTGTGAGGCCACAGACTGTGCGTGCTCTGGCCCCATCAGTGTCAGACAGCAACCTCTGTCCGGGTTACTGCTGATGGCTGGTACCAGTGTCACGTTTTTCTTACAATTAGTGCTTTCTCTTAATGGAGGTTGCTGTGCAGTAGGAGATGGCTGCGCCCACGCGCCGTATGAGCAGAAGGAGGCCCGTGTGGCTTTGTGCTGTTCCATCTAACTCTGTCCCTTTCCCAGTGAGCACATCGCTAGCTCTCAGACATCGTCATGGTTTTCTGATGGTTATTGTTGCCAGCGGCCAGA